CCAGATAACTGGAAATTAATTTCATTTTTCGAATTTCCAAAAGTCCATATATAAAATCGCCGAGGAATTTCCAGATTGAAAATCACTGAGCATTTTCCATAATTCTAGAAAATCGAACTGGAAATTCGACTTCGAATTTCAAGAATCTTGGGAATTATTTATAGAAATTCGACTTCGAATTTCCTGAATTCTGGAAAATCGAGATCGAATTTCCAAGTTTCTTGTAAATTTGATTTTCTAGAATCTAGAAAATCCTCAGAGAATTTATATATGGACTTTTTGAAAATCGCCGAGCATTTTCTATAAGTAATTCCCGACATTACAGTGTACCTAATATAGAACATAACAATCGAAATGACTAAACACAAACCGATACATATATATGTATCTGTTTGTATTTGGTTACTTCGATTATTATTATTATTTAGATGAAGAGGATCTATAGTATTTGAAAGCATATGATAACTATAATTTATTTAATAATACTTATGCTTTTCTTTTGATTTAGATTATCTTTGTGAGTGAAAGAAATAATAAGACAATGTCAACTGCCTGAAGCAAAATGAAAGAGTGACTTACTTCTCTGAATGTGCTTGATGGTAAGGGTCACATAGATGAAATGCAGGATTAACACACTTGCGATTATTGCGGATAGTCTGCGGTTATCACCGAAGAACATTCATTAGTGATTTCAAAGATGGATAAAGGGAATGCCATTGTTGTTATGAATAAATCTGACTATTTGACGAAAGCAAAAGAGATATTATATGATGAAAGAGCATTTAAAAAATTAATTCATAATTTAACTGACAAACATGAAGAAGAACTTAATAAATTTCTACTGCAACTTAAAAGGAATAAAATTATTAGTCCTGATGAATATAAATTAATGAGGCGGGATACAGGTTCAAGAACACCTGAAACTTATTTCTTAGTTAAAGTGCACAAATCAGGGCAACCAGTTCGACCTATCATCTCAAGTTATAATTCATATAATTATAATACGGTAAAATATTTAGCAACGTTACCAGCAATTTCACAGTGTCCCTCTTATGTAAAAGATTCATTCGGTTTTGCAAGAATTATAAAAGAGAATAAAGACTTATCAGGGCTCATATATTCATTAGATGTATCATCTTTATTTACGAATGCTATTACGAATTTAGAAAAGGCTATTAATATTGCTATAAAGAAAATTAAACAATTCCATCCCAAATTAACTATAGATGATGACAACTTGAGAGAATTATTTTATTACTGTACAAAAAGAACTAATTTTATATTTAACAACGAGCACTATGATCAAATAAACGGCGTGTCAATGGGCAGTCCGATTGCCTCTATAAAAAAGAGAAAAGATTCAAAATTAATTACATATGTTTATAGAAAATCCACCGACACCGGTCTATATCTCGAATGGACAGGTAATCAACCCCGCAATTATAAAATTAATTTAATTAAATGCCTATGTTTTCATGCAAAAAGAATGTGCTCATCGAATAGTCTATTTAAACAACAGTTAGAATATTACAAAAAGATTTTTATTGCGAATGGATATCCATGTAATGTTGTTAAGAAAACTATTCGTAGTATTGAATTAAGTATTAATAAGAAACAACCCGGTCTGAATATTCAAAAATTATTTATTCCTTTTCCTTATTACGGTGAATGTTCTATAGTGTTAGCAAATAAGATTCGGAAAATATCACAAACTTTCACAACACATATTGTATTTGGATTTAAGGCTGAAAATAGAATCTCTTCATTGTTTAGCAGAACCTATCGTTGTAGTAATGATAATAAGAGAATAGCATATGGTTATTCATGTTATGATTGTGATGGATATTATATTGGTCAGACAGCGAGAGGTGCAGAAGTTCGGAAAGAAGAACACAAGCTCTTAAGGGCATGGGATACTCCAAAATTGCAGAACATTACTTTAATAAAATTCACAATAATAATTGGGATATAAACATCTTAGCAATAGAGTCGAATGACTTAAAAAGTAATATTAAAGAAAGTTTAAAAAAAAAGACAATAAATTTGGGGGGCGTTAAAAATTAATGATTAAAAGAAAAACGTTTTCTTTTAATTTGTGTTCTTGTCTCTCTCTTTGTGTTGTCTATATATATACTCTTTCGTCTTGCTTGTTCATTCATTTCATTTTTCGACTGATGATGTATTGTGTTCATAACGAAACGTCTCTAATAAAATGATAAAAATGGTGTCAATTATTCTCTTATTTATATTTAAATGTTTTCACCGTATAAACAAAAGAAAGTCTATTGATTTTCAGTTTTGGGTGAAAACCTCGGTAATTTATCAACGTGAAAATTCGAAAAAAATGAAAGTAGTCGGGTAGGATTAACATACACATAAGTCGACACATTTTTTCATCCTAATTCCAAATATGATATTTTATTGCTCAAAAGTTGAGTTCTGTTGGAAAAAATTGAGAATTACAAGCAGAATTCCGACTTTTCCGCCTGGGATTTAGAAAAAATGAATTTTCTCAGCAACGAAACAGAATTTTCAAAAAGCTCTTTGTTGTTTTAAAGCTGAGGAGCATCTAGCGGATCTAGTCATTTAAAAATATTGTCTCTATGACCTCTATATAAACCTGTATTAGGTCTGCAAAGTTTGTGTTGTGCTTTTGAGTTGTGCCGGTTACGAGCACTAGCAAAAACCCAGTTTCGGCTCTGAAACCTTGGGAGTTAGTTTGCATAAACGTCGTGCATAAAACGTCGAAAAATAAATTTCACTCGAAGTCTGCTTTGCAAGTACCTCACCCACAAACAATTAATTTCTTTCAAGACCTTTGTCAAAAGATTTTTTGCCTATTCTTTACTTAAAAATTTCTTGGACTTGGTTACGGCACTCAATTCAATGTTTAGAACCGTTTTGATCGATTGAGTTTATTAATAAAATAGAACAACTGAAAATCACATAGCACTTGATCCGTAGAATAAGGTGGGTATAACAAAATTATGATGGGTTCTGATTCGAGATAGTTATTGATATCATTATCATTCTACTGTCAGAGGTTATTATAAGGAAATGTGATGTGATGCGGCAATTATTGATATGATATTGGTGATCAGTTGTCTGCGCTCTTTCAACGTGTGTCTTTTTCAAGAGAATTCGTCTAGTCTTTATAAGATACAAAACTACGTTTTTGGAGTTAACTTGCTGAGTCGAACTATAGTAGCTGGAGATTATTCGCTTGCAATCCAACTACTATCGTAATCAGTTCTAGATTTGTCATAAACAAATGGACCGAAAGTCATCAAACTACTATCGTCGCCAAAATACGGCGACCCTGGTTGCTTTCTGAATAACTTCTCACACGAGACAGATAGAGACCTGCGA